AAAGATGGGGAAGGCAAAACAGAGTGTCAAAATCTCAAGGACGCCAGACCCCTGAAATGATGGCCCTGATAGGATCTTTCAACTTCCAGGCAAAATATCTTCTGATGTCATCTTTAGAACCAGACCATGGGTTAGCTTCCGTATTGAGAAAGCGTCACCTCGCGCAGGAAGCTCTCTGCAGAACTGTCTCCAGGGGGCTTCAAAATGGCCCTGTAAAAATTCCCATACCCAAGCGCCCCCCCACCCCCTAGAGGATCAAACTAGCAACAGCCACAGGGAAGCCTAGAGAGGAACTGTAGGAGCAGCTGTGAGTTTACGTTCCGCGGGAGGGAGGAACCACTCAGAGGAGGAGGAAGAGTGGCATTTGTCCAAAAGCGGAATCCCGTCACCAGTGTCCGTGTAGAGACGGCTGCATCGGTGTGTGTCCTGCAGCGTGTACCCTCATGAATAATAAGAGAAATCAAACTTTGGAGGGGAAAAAAAGCTTTGTTCCCGATAAGGAAGGAACAGATTGCCAAAGTCAACGTGAACCCATGAACTCTGCCAAGTGGATGAATGCTAACCGCGGCCCGTCAGAGTCAAAACTGCCTTATTAAAAATAATAGATGCAGCGAAGTCCGATTCCACTGACATGGGCCATGATTAGCATTTGCTCAGCTTATTTAGTTTCAGTCCTTTTCGTTTGCAGAAAGCCTGCCCTCCTGGTTCTTCATAAACCGGCAGGGACCGCATCTCACTTGGCCACTGACTCAGGAAGAGCTCTCCGTCGAGCTTGCAGCTGCTGGGAGGTGGCGAGTGGGCCCGACTCACAGTGACTCTGTGGGCATCAGAGCAGAGCACTGCCGCTCCTGCGCCACCCTCACAACCGTTCTCACGTTTGAGCCCACCGACGCAGCCACTGTGGCGATCCATCTTGTCAAAGGCCGTCCTATTTTTCGCTGCCCCCTCTACCTTACCAAGCATGATGTCCTTCTCCAGGGACTGGTCTCTCCTGACAACACGTCCCAATTGTGCGAGACAAAACAGTCTCACCATCCTTGCCTTTAAGGAACATTCTGGCTGTACTTCTTCCAAGAAAGATCGGTCTGTTCTTTGGGCAGTCCATGGTCCTGTCAATGTTCTTCGCCAGCACCACAATTCCAACGCCTAGATTCTTCTTCGGTCTGACTTATTCAATAGCCACTGTCACATGCATAGGAGGCAATTGAAAATATCAAGGCTTGAGTCAGGCGGGTCAGGTTACACCTCAATTCCCAAGTAAACACCCTTGCTTATCAACACTCTAAAGAGGTATTGTGCAGCAGATTTACTAGAAAGTGCTACGGCCCAGCTAAACTATGAGGATTGGCATTGTAGAAAGACAGAGATGAAACAACGGATCATTTCAACAAAGGGCAGAGGTAAAACAGAAATCACAAGGACACAAGCCTTTCCTGCTCAGTCATTCCACAGCTCTTTGTCAACTAAGAGCCCGAGTGGTAACACGAAGAAGCGAACACATCAGAAAGCAGGGGACCTGCTTCTGCCTCTTAGTACTTCCTCTCAGCTAGATGGCTGTTGCTCCAACACCTCCAGCTTCTCTACATCCTCCTCATGGTTGCTTTTAATTCCCTAGTTGTTCCCCAGTCTATGGCCTTGTTTCCTCACCACTCCCTTCCCCCGCCTCCGCCCCCAAGTCCCCCCAGAGCCATCCGGTCCCATTGCTTTCTCTTCGAGCTTGCTTCCCATGCCTATCTTATGTAGGTAGGCAACCAACCATAACAGAGACCAAACAAAAGATTGAATACGAGAAAAGAAAAGAAAAAAAA